ATCTTCTACTCAGTTCCAGCTTCCATGATTACCTCACTTAATCATTCCAACTGGTGTGCTTGAGGACCTGAGACTCATAAATTAAGTAACGTTCCCAAAGTTACATGAGGAAAGGTGTCATTTCCATACTTCTCACCATCCTGTCTGTTCCAAGTACCCACTTTTTCCCCATGTACCCATTTTAATTCCACCAGTGTCCCCCTTAAAGAAACACCCAGAACTGGTTGCAGTGCTGTCTTGTGAGGCTTATCAGCTGAAAGAGCATAGGACCTGAGCACTCCCCTCCTTGAGACACTGAAGCCCCTCTAGCTGCATCAAATTTTTGGCAACAGCATTGTCATTCTATAAAGCCACAGTTGTTTGGTTTTTTTCCCCTTGTGCTGCTGTAAAGTCCGTTTATTCCCCCTTCTTTTTTGGGTGCAGCTGAGCACAAGCATTGGACAACATATTACTACCTGTTTGAGTCAGCTCAACTTCCTGAGGAAAACTGCAGCTCAGTCTGGCCGTGGGCTCCTGCTTGTGGGCTGGCTATAGGCCAGACTTTGGCAGTGACGCCAGAGTGGCCAGACTTCCATGGAATTCAGCATCTCAGGCAGTTCTTGGTGACCAGAGACAGATCCCATGGTAGCCAAACCCCACGGGAATAGCCCTCAGCCCCAACAGATGGATGACTTGTGGGTGGAGCTAGAGAGTCTCATTCTAGCAACGGACAGTCCTAAGGGACTCTTCCCCTACCCCTCATAGTCCCTGGGAAGTCTTCAGTCCACAACCTCTGTGGAGCCAGGAAAGGGTGAAGCTCCCTAGGCACCAGACAAGGGTGGCCAAGGCATATTCCGAGGATCCAGCTCAAAGGACTGCCTCTGGGAGCTCTTCCTCTGAAGCTTTAGGAAGGGAACTTTTGGGCTTAGTTCATCCATGTCTTATTTATATATTTCTGAGGCTGAGGAGAGCCAGAGCCAGCCTTCCTTGGTATGATTACCCCTGTCAGCTCATCCAATGAGTATCTGGAGTTCTACTGTTAGAGCTTAATCTATGAGATTGTAAAGGGTTCCCCCCCCACCCTCAGAATCATAAATTGTCAGGATAGAAGGAACCATAGTGTTCACCTAATCTATCTCATATTTAGTAGGAATATTCTCTACAATATCTTTGTCCTAATTCTCTAGCCTCTGCATGGACACACTCATCTCCCAAGATAGCCTCTACCACTAATTTTACTATAGAAAGTTCTTCCCGTAACTAAAATTCTGCCTTTCTGGAGCTTTTGCCCATTGGCCCTGGTTCTACTCTCTGGTTATGTGGTCTTCTATAACCCTATCTAAAAAAATAACAATTCTTTTGGAGGAGTACATCTTAAGTTGTTCCTGACCAATGTCTGAGGTAATTGGCAGCCATCAGTGGTATGGGGAGAGGCCCCAGGAAAGGAGACTGTCAAGAGCCAGTCTAATGGCTGCACAAACTGTATGAATTTTGTTGTCTTTCATCTGAGTATCCTTCTCAGGCAATGAGAAACCATAACACTGATAGCTTGTCGGGGAGACCAGAGGAGGCTTTACTATCACAACTAAATAAAGTTCTCTGAAGCCTAGGAATAGAACACTTTAGGGGGTATTCCATCAGGGGAGTAAGACTTGGATAACAACAGAGTTTCAGAGGAAATTCCTCATCAGTATCACCGTCATCTGTTGCATTTTACTTAGCACCTAATGGGGCCAGATGCTTGTAGATATCTAGATAGATGAATAGATAGGCAATCTCACTTCACATCACAGAAACCTTGTGAAAAGAGGTGGTACAGAGGGGCAAAATAACTTGCCCAAGGTCATAAAGCTAGTAAATGGCAGATCTGGATTGAATCCAAGGTCTTCCCAGCCCAAAGGCCCAAATTCCTTAGTCACTCTATTGCCCAAACTTAAAGACTTGCTGCTGGAGACCTAGGAAGCAGTGTATGTGTATGTGGTTGAGGATGAATTTGGTGCCCAGCCCAGTCTTAGCATGTCAGAAGCCCAGGTAGAAAGGCCACCCTATTATCTGTGCACCCATTATCAAAGACTACATCTTGGCCCCAGACTTCACTAGTTGGCAGCCAGGTCAACAGAAAGAAGAGAGCACAGTGGGAAAGAACTCTTGGGCCTAAAGTGTCCCTGGGTTAGGCAGTCTTGATGGAAGCAATTTCTGCTTCTTTGAGCTTGTTTTAACTTTACCTTCTGCATCTAATATACAAGCTCATATAGCAGGCCTCAAGTTTAATTCCCTAACCTGAGCATTTTCAGAGCTGCTCCCTGGAGTTGATACCAAATACAATATGGTTTAACTTCTATGATTTAACGACATTTCTCTCTCCTAAAGACTTAAACTCTAGTCCTTTTTGGATTTTCACCATTATTGTACTACATGTTCATTTATTTAACAAGCGTTTATTTAGGACTTCTTATATACTTAGCCCCGTGCTTGATGGTGTTGGTAAAATGATGATACATCTTGAATTTTCCAAAATATTCCCAATTCCAACTGTTTTAACTTTTTAAATAAATAGTTCCTGTTCCAGGCCATATATCTCTATTTTTCTTTGAGAACAAGTTTGTTAGGAATTCATGAGAAGATGAAGACACATAGTCTGTTCCCTGAAGGATCTGTCAGTCTTCTTGGAAGCTTCATCCCAGTCTTTAAGATAAGAACACAGCACTGTGAAGACTCTCTTCAGTAGTATGAGTCTTCTAAGTGCTGTTTCAGGCTTTCAGAGAAGAGATCACAGTCAAAAGGGGCAGTCAAAAGGGAAGATTTCATGGATGAAGTAGAAAGTGACTTAGACGTCTGGGATGTGTTGGAAAGGATTGGTAAAACAGGTGAAAATGTATTTCTGGAGAGTAACATGGTGTTGCCTCACCTAGATAATAAAGAGTGAGGGGTTGGGCCTGGAGGAAGCAGGTGTGTTTAGGACATGAGTGAGAGAGAAGGCTAGGAAGGTCAATTTCAACCATGCTGAAGCAAGTTTTAGATGTCAGCTTGAGGGATATGGTTGTCATCCTGTTGGCAATGGGAAGAATGGGAGCATCAAGTTGCCTAACCTCACAGCCCAGCTGCATCAGCCTCTACTGTGTAACCCTGGGCAAATTACCTGACTTAGTTGGGCCTCAGTTTCTTTGTCTAAAGATTAGGGATGTTGATAATAATAGCATCTACCTCATAGAGGTCTTATGAGGTTTGCAGTACTTCATCAAAGTGTCGATCATGTTACCTGGCACATATGTAGTGTTAGCTATAAGTTATTAGAGCACTAAAGTGACACATTTAGGGAAGGAATGTAGGAGGACACTAAGTAGGCACAGAGAGGATAGACTGGAGAGAGAGGAGACTAAAGCATGAGGAGACTATTCTGGTAGTAGTATAATATAGTACTGTAGTATACTATAATAGTAATAGTAGTAATCTAAGCAGAATAGTAATAATATTATAATAATACTATAGTAATCTAAGTAGTAGTCTAAGTAGTATATAGTACAGGCTTGACCAGCAATTGTCAGGAGAAGGTGATGAATCTTAGATGCTGAGAGGGAAAAACTGACAGGTCTTTCTGCTAACTAGATGGTGTGGTCTCTAGCTGGTGTGTTGGGTGTGGGTATTTCAGAGTCAGAGCTTAGACCAAGCACCGTGACATTGCTTGGAAGAAGGAGAGGGGAAGTGTTGGTGTGCTTGCTGTGATCTGTGAAAGGGTGGGGATTGTAGGTAGAACAGCGCCCTCTGATGTGGTGGCACTTAGGACATTTCAAAGGTCCCCTGCCTCCTACTGCCTTAATTCCTTTTAGTAGGAAAGTTTTAAGTAAATGTTGTTAAAGACCAGGACACTGGAGAGGGTAACACTTCAGCTCTCCTTGAGTGAGCTGAAAACAGGCCTTTGTAGGCAGGAGAGGAGATTGATGGTCAGAATGGAAGGCCCATAGGAAATGGGGAACTGGAGAAAGAGTTTTCATGTGGGAGTAGGGCTGAGGGGTACGTCACGAGGGAGAGAAGCACTGAAAAAGGAAGTGTGAGAATGCTGAAGACATGCTTAGCCCATTTCACAGCCTTGCCCCTGCAACTCCCTCTGTGACATCACCATTGACACACTTGGCAACCCTTGGGCTTTCTAGAGCATTTCCCTTGTACTGAATTTAAGCTCTAAATGTTCACTGCCTTTAATTCAAATGTTAGACAAACTGAAGTCACATGAATCTTTGATCCTGTCAGGGCATAATCAGATGATAGCTGGGAGGAGAGGAAGCATGGGAGTGGAACCATGTTGTTGGATAAAATGTAATTATGCTATTTGAGAAGGAAAAACAGCTTGGCCTTGAACACTTTTACAAGCATTAACATCTTACTCTTTCCCTCTGGGGAAGGGGGCTTTGGGGGAAACAAGTGCCCCCCTCCCTCAAGTCCTTCCCTGTGGGAGTTCCAGCATAGCCCAAAGAGTGGATCTGACTCCAGAGCCAGTCCCAGAGCTAATCCTACCCCAGAGTTAACTCCATAAGAGAAGTGAGGCAAGTCTGGACTTATCACCTGGTCTAGCCCCTGCTCTTGGGGCCCCTGGAGTCACCTAAAGCCCAACCACCCTCTGGAGTTGGGTATTGATCTTCCCTTTCCTTCAGGAAGCCAGGTCTATGAGTATTATGGGGAACTAGACAGCAGGTAGCCACCAGAGAAGAAACCAGTTGCTCTTAGAAGACTCAAAGCTTCTAGACAGACTAAGTGTTAGAGGGAGGAAATGAAAAGGGGGATTATGGGGTCTCAGACACTGCCTATCAGTGTGGGACTAAGCCCCAGATAGCCGAGATCTGTGCTCCAGTAACATCTCAGAGGTTGAGAACACCTCTGAGGTGTTTCTGGAACAGCAGAAGCCTCTAGGCCAGATCCCATGGTCCCCATCAGTTCCCACTGCACACGTGCCATGAAGCCACGGGGTTTCTCTTTGGAATCTGTTCGGAGTTTTGTTTTTATCTTTTTTGCATTTTGTTTTCCAGAGTGGAACACTTAAGGATCCGGACTTGAGCAAGACCCCACCTCAGCGGCCAGCCCCCCAAGGTTGTTTACAGTATATTCTCGACTGTAATGGCATTGCAGTAGGGCCAAAACAAGTCCAAGCTTCTTAAAGTGATTGGTAGTTCATTTTTCAAAGCAGAAATTTTAAGCCAAAAACAAACAAGGGAAGAAAGGAAAGCGGGGAGGGGAGCAACAGACCCTCCCATTGGTGCCGTTTCTGCGTTCTTTCAATGCTGACTGGACTGTGTTTTCCTATGCAGTGTCAGCTCCTCTGTCTGGTTGTTTACCTGTTCCTGTTCGTGCTTGTAATGCTCACTTACGTTTCTCTGTATAACTTGTGATTCCAGGGCTGTTTGTCAACAGTGTACAAAAGAATCGTGCCTCTCCCAAATCTAGCGTGACTCTATCTTCTGGGTGGTTTGATAGTATTTTTTAAAGTATTACATAATGTGGGGTGAAATAGGACTGGGGGATGGACAGGGAGAAACAAAGACCACAAAAATAAAACCCAGCTCCTCTCCTTCTCCCCCTACCCCCAGGCTCTGATTAAGTCACCCCCCCCACCCCTGCTTACCTCCATGAGTGTGCTTGGGATCTTCAGTGAATTGTGCTTTTTGCTTCCTTTCTGCATGACTAGGGTAAATAGATAGAAGTTTAAGAGATTTTTCAAGGTCTAATTTCCATAGCTTCATCCGTTGAATCTGAAGGCATCCACCTTTTTTCCCTTTGCTAAAATTTGGTGCAGTTTGAGTTTATGTGAATAGGCTGGCTGTGCCTGTAGAGCTCTTGTGTTTTTAGTGATGACATGAAATATAAAGAACAAGCTATTTCCAGGAATGTGTTCTGTATTTGACATCCCAGTGTACCTTATTTTTTATTATTAACTAATTAGCTATGAGATTAGACAAAAAAAAATGGGGCCGCTGATGTGCAATATCAAAGTGAACATGTGAGTATTTTCTGTGTGTTGATCTCAGTCCCCCAAGTTGTTTCTTCTTTGTTGCTGTTTCTGAATTGGCCATATTATGCGCTTCTGTGAAACTGAGGCTGCTTTGTATTCCCCAAAGCCTGACCTATGTACATAGATGATTCGTTAGCAATTTTGGACATAGGATGCAGGAAACTACTGAAAGTCTGAGAAGGAGTTGACCATTCTGCTCTTGGCCTCTCCCTAGGCAATCATGAGACCAAATCAGAAATGTCCCATTTCACAGAGGGGTATACTGCCTACAGAACTCTGAGGTGGACTCCTGCTTTCATTTTCAGCTGTTACAAGAGCACTCTGGAGGCCAGCGAATGAGGGGCTTTATCTTTCCTCGGAAGAACTGTCTCTGATTTTAGCTTGTGTGTGTTTGGGACAGAGTCTCCACAGCCATGTGGCTATTGAAGAAAGCTCACCAATTTGTCTTCTTTCCTCTGACATGCAGTTACTGGGCTGTGATGAGACAGTTAATTAAAGCCTCGGCTTCAGTGCCTCATCTTGCCATCTCCTAGCCATACTGGGATGGGCACTGAGTGGTCTCCTCTAGCACTGTGGTCCATGGGAGTTTATGCCAGCAGTTTGGATTTTAAAGAAGTGCTTCTGGCTCTACTATTACATTCCTCTCAATTCCATTCTGATATGTTACCGTTCTGGATTCCAGGTCTGAGGAATAAATAGTGTTGATAGTATGGTGTATGTGTCAAGGGCATGTGCCCTAGTTTCTCTGTCGGCTGCTGGCAAATTCTGAGGCTACAGGGAAATGCACTGAGTGTGAGTGTTCTCATCTGTGATCCCTCCCTTAGATGGTGATGGTGGTCAGTCTGTTGTAAATATATACATATATGCATTTGTGCACTTCTAGGTGGGTTGCATAAGAATCAGGTCCTTAAATACCTCCCAATCTGATGAAATGGTAGAAAGGAATAGAGCAACATTTCCCAGAATGGAGGAATACATTTTCATTTTTTATTTTTATTTTTTTGTCCAAGTGGTGAGCTGAAGGTGGTGTTGCTTCTCTGCATGTTATCAGTGTGAACATCCAGGTGCTTTTCATGTGACATTTGTGAGCCACAAATACAAAGTTGCCATTTGAATTCAGTCAGGCTCCAGGGTGGTGTTAGCCAGTTTCTCAGGTGGGGGAGAAACTGATTAGGGCTCCTACTGCCAAATGCAAGCAGGCAGTGTGACCTGACTATTATGTGCCCTCAGGCAGCATGCTAAGGGCCAACTCTGTGGCCTGGGGGACATCCATGTCACAGTATAGGATTGCTGTTCAGGTGTTTTGTATCCATTTCTTTTCTGATGTTGTCCCCTTTTTTTGTACCAATCCAGCTGGGAAAACCTCAGCCAATGCTGGAAGTGTGATTTAAGTACCTCTCTTTTGTGACTCTCTTGTACAGCTTAATGTGCAATAAAGGAAAAGTTATATCTGTCTTCAGTGTTAAGTTGTAAAGTTTCTGGCTATTCAAGCATCTCTGTACAAGTGGGAAAGAACTCAGGTTCCTGGTCTAAGAGGCTGAGCCATCAACCTGCTGTACTTTACAAGAAAAGGCTGATACAGATGAAGCCAGACTTTGGAAGAGGCAAAAACTGGCTAACGTGAAAGATGCTGATCTGTCGTCTTCATCTTTACTGGTTATCTGATTTGAACTTGGAACTTCAAGTTTTCAATCCAAAATTCCATTTATGTATTTATGTAAAACTAACTCCGGTATTCATTGGTAATTGATACAGTGGAGCCCATGCCATGTAACAGGGAGATGGGCTGGTAATCTTGGGTGCATAGTAGTGTAGATGGATAATTCTGCCTCTGCAGAGTGTATAGGTACTCTGGTGTTTCTAGGATATTAAGTTACAACACAACTCCTAGCTGCTCTTGGGTTTCTATAAGCCTACTCCCTCCAGCTGGCTCATGAATGTGGACACTGAGAGTGAGACATGAGAAATTGGATCTCTCAGGCCAATTATGCATCATTTCCACTAGTCAGTATGCACTGATGAGGACATCTTTTGAATTTTACTAAGTCAAAAGATGACTAAGGAACCACCACCCCCCCATCTAAGCAAAATCTGAGCAATCAGGTATCATACTTATTGCCTGACAACTCCCAGAGGAAGAATGGCCTTTTCCCCCTCCAGCGCACTGGATGGTTTTCTGTCTCCTGCTGAGAGAATGGTGTCCTGGTCCTTTGGAGGGGGTGGGGGTGGAGGTGAGGGGCTGCTTCTTTCTTTCTGCTGTCTTTTGTACCCACAACATCTCCAGGGGAGAATAGAACTTGGATTTCTGGAGTTCACCACACACACCAGAGAGGGAGTAGAGCCCCCTGAGGATGGTACTACGAGACAAAAGAGCACATGGAAACAGAAGATTCCCCCTAGTCATGTGCTTGAGTTAATGTTAAAATGAAGCCCTGGTGGGTGGGGCATGGCAATCAGGCATGTGCTGGTCAGGAGCCGGACATGGCCCAAGTTCTATAAAAACAATGCAAGTCTATGATCATTAATGATCATAAAGCACACAATACTTTTTAAAGAACTTTCTTGTCCATTAACATCTTTGAAACACTACTTCTTGAAAAACAACTAAGACTCGGGATTACTTTTTCATAGTTTTATGGTTATAATCACCAAGGCCCAGAGAAGTTTGCTGACTTGCTTGGAGTCACTGAATGACTGTCTTGACTTTGTGACTCCCAGACCTGTGCTTCCACTGCCTTGTACTGCATCTGTAGTGTGGAACTTGAGACCTCCTAGTAAACCATGAGGCAGGTTACCCTCTACCAGAGAAACCTCTGGGGAAGTGGGGTGGGGTCCCTCTGGTCTAGGGGGCCTTCTGTAAAAGAGCTTGCTTCTGATCAGGGGCACTCATCCCATGGTTTCTTCCTTGTCCTCCTGACTTCTGATGTGCCTGAGGTGCTCTGTCTCTGAGGAGGAGCAAGTAGTGGCGGATGTATGAGGGAAACCAGGGGCTGGCTCTGGAGCCTGACAGAGCCTCGGGTGGCTTCTTGTAATGGAGCTTATCCTTTTGGTGATTAACTAACTTCACCCTTTAAGACATAGATTCTAATAAGGAAACCCTTTGATACGGTTAAATTATGAAGTTTTTCTTGTACTGAACCTAGGGGGCCCTGGGCAACCCCAAGGAATGCAGCCCCCAGGCAAGGTGATGCCTCCACGCCGGCCTCCCCCTGGACCATCACTACCACCTTCCTCCTCTTCCTCCTCCTCCTCTTCTTCCTCCACCACCCACGGAGATGCGCCCTCCAGCAGCAGCTCCCTGGCAGAGGCCCAGCCACCCCCGGCTGCTCCACCACAGAAGCCCCAGCCTCACCCACAGCTCAAGTAAGAGACAACTCAGCAGCTCCTTCCCCTCCCTTCTTCCTGCCCCTCCTCACAGGCCTTAGGCTCCAGAGCTGCTAGAAAGCACCTTCAATCAGGCTTTCTTCTACAGATATTTTTGTGGAGCTTTTTTGGATTTTGGTTTTGGGTTTTTTGGTTGTTTTGGTTTTTTTGGTCTGTTTTTTTTTTGTTGTTGTTGTTGTTGTTTGTTTTGCTTTGTTTTGTTTTGTTTTGGTTGGGAGCATTGTTGGGGGTTGATTAAGGAGGGTAGAAAAGAAGGAAGTGAAAGTCCAAGGTCTAGCTAGAAGCTCAAACCCTTTCTTCCTGGGGAATGCCAATAAGGCAGAGTCACTGCCCCTTTCCTATTCTTATATTAGCTAAGGGTTCGTTCGTCCTTCCTTCCTTCCTTCCTTCCTTTCTTCTTTCTTTCTTTTAATCCTATCTCCCACTCTTTTTTCCATTCCTTTTCTGTGTGTGTGTATGTGTGTGTGTGTGTTTCTCCCTCTCAAAATTAAAAAAAAAAAAAAAAAAATCCTCTTTCCTGCCTCTGACTCACAGTTTAGGGTGTGCAATCAGCAAGGCTGCCCAGAAGGGAAAGAAGGGGAAGGCGTTAAATCCATTTCAACTTGTTACCTTCTGCTGTGTCAGAAGGAGGTCAGTTTCTGGTATGGTCATCAGAGGAGGGCCCCAGATAGATACCCGGAGGAACTCCATCTTCTTGGGCTTCCTCACTCCCTAGAAGCCCCCACCACACTGTCCTGCTTCAGAGGAAGAACTGAGGGCCACTGGAAAACAGTAAAGCTGTACTTGGGATGGACAGCACCTGGTTGTGGATGGTGGTCTGTTCTACCCTCTCCCCTAGAACTAGAGATGCCTCTCTCCACCATCCCCAAACAGACCTCTGTCATCACTGTAAGCAGAGACAGCTATAGCCTTTCAGCCTTTCAGGGGTGGGAGTGACCCATCAGTGCTTCTCAGAGTGAGGTGATGGGCATCTTCAGGGAGGGAGAAAAGGAGCCCACTTAGACATGGTCTAGTCATTGTTTAGATGAGTAAACTGCTCAAAGAGATTTGACTAATTTTCTTTCTCAAAACCACTCGGCTAGTTAGTGGCAGAGCCAGGATTCAGGCTCGGCCAGTCCGGATGACCACTTTCTCTGGGTCTTCCAGCCCTTGTGGCTGGAGGGACATCACCCACTCCTGCTCCCCAGCTCTGGCCAGTGGCACATTTCACATCTCACCTGACCTATAACTTCCCCTCAATCCAATTGTTTTCTGCCGCTGACTTAAAATCTCTCCTGCCTTCTCATTAGCCGCCACTGGCCCCAGTCTGAGAGCAGATCTTCGGGTTACCATTGCCTTTGGGCTGAAGTTGTTGAATAGGGCCGTCATCTGGCAACAATCAGGAGGCTTATATCCAGGGCCCTTGGCTGTGCTTGCAGAGGGGGCCCTCCCTCCCAAAGGCCAGCATGTTGGGGCCCATCACCAACCCTAATGAAAGGCAGGGTTTCTGTTCACAGTCACTACAGGAGAGAAACTGCTCACACTCCTGTAGAGGGGAGTTTTGGGGGCTGCATCCTGAATGTAGGGAAGGGTTGGGAGCTCTAAGACATCAGGAGAAGATTTCTACAGCCAGAAACTATCAGGAAAGAGACACAGTGAAAGTCAAGGAGACATAGCAGACTACTGGAGATGCCAGACCTTATTCTCTTCTCAAGTACTTGGCTTGGCCTCCCCTCAACCTTCTTGACTTCAGTTTTTCTCTCTGAATCCCTAGTCTTTCAGGGGGAAATCTGGTTCCTAAAATATGTGTGATTTGGGTTTTTAATTAGAAAACTGCTTAATGTCCTTGTGGTACCAGATACCTATCTCGTTTGCCCCTGAATACCCTGACCTGCACAAACCTCATATTAGAGCTCCTTTGAGGAAGGCTACAAAGAATGGTCATGTCCATTTTAAGAGGAAGTAACTTGAGGCCTTGGTTTATTCCAAGTTTATTTGGAATCAGAGAAAAAAAGCGGAGTATAAAGGCCTGAAAAGGCCTGGGGAGAGTATTTTACCAAACATCTGCACATCACAAATGAGAAACCAAGACCCAGAGAAGCATAAGAATGAGTGAAGGGCAGATCCAAGACTTTACCCAGGTTTTCTGATGCCGGCTTTACCACTTGACAATTAATGGAAAAGAGAGTACAAAGAGCCTATGGTCCCCTGATCGCTATATTTCATCAGAAGGGAAGGGTGTGAGAGTCCTAGATTCTTACTTACTAAGTTGGGACCTCTGAAATGTAGCCTGTGGGCCATTTAGTTTAGCTTAAGTATAAGAAACAGCCTTTGAGTCACTCCTCCTCCTTTCCCTTTTCTCTTTTTTCCCTTCTCCCTCTTTCTCTTCTCTTTCCCCTTCTTCTCTCCCACACTGCCCCCATCCTTTCCTATCTTAACAGCACTGAAGGTGAGGATAATAGCACAGGGGCCTCCCCGGGTCCTGGCAGTACTCCATTGCTGACTTTCTCCTCCATCACCCTGGTCTCCCTGGGGTGGGAGTGGGGGTTCGGTTGTGTATCCTCATGTCACCCTCTTTCCCTGCCTCACTGGGAACACCCCCTCTCATGTTCTTTCTGGTTTTTATCTTCAAGCAAGTCGCAGTCCCTGACAAATGCCTTCAGCTTCTCTGAGTCCTCCTTCTTCCGGTCTTCAGCCAATGAGGATGAAGCCAAAGCGGAGACCATCCGGAGCTTGAGGAAGTCCTTTGCCAGCCTCTTTTCAGATTAGCTCTCCAGATACTCGTGGGGGGGTGGGCACCTAGCCCCACCGGGAAACTTATCTGAGACATTTATTAGTAGTCAGCCACGCTTGGTGATATCCCAGGACCTTGACGTGTGTGGTCCCTTACTTTGCTCTGTTGTGCTAAGTGATATTGTGCAGCTCAGAAAAGACCATGTGAAGGTCTCAGGGCAGGTGCCTAACCAGCAAGGAACACCTGACATCAGAGAGAATAGAACTGCTTTCCTGTAGTCCTGAGAGTTTCCTCTGAGGTCATCGTTAGCTGTGAGTGTAGTGGCCTTATTGTGATAGTGCCCTCATGTCTTATTCTTCTTCATAAAACCAGGATTCCTTCACTGAGGACTCTTGGTAGCTTACCCTAGCTCAGAGGCAGTGCTAAGCATGCCCCCGCTTTAGTCAGTGCTGCCTGTTTGGGGAGCATATACTTACCCCAAAATGCTCTTGGCGCTAAGTGTTAGGAACCTACCCACACTTGGATCTCTTGTCATACCTGTTTAGCTGTTTAAAAGACACCTGTGCAGCACAAGAGATTCCTCTACTACTATCATGGTAAAGCACCTTTAGTCTGTCGATACTGGAGAGAACAAGGATCTGCAGTCCCCCCGCTCCACGTTTTCTCTTCTCTGGAGAGTTCTTATGTGCGTGCTGCAGTGATCTCGAGCTCTGAAGCTGCACTGTAGAGAATGCATGCCACTGTAACAGCAGTATGCCAAGTTTTGTGTTCATCTCCAAATAAATGTTAAGACCTTTGGTGTAATAAAAGCAGCAGCATTAACCAGCATTTGATTCAGCCATGAGGTCTCTCCTAGGCCACCCTTTTGGCTGAGAGAGTATATGTGAAGCATATGTGTGTGCTTGCAAGTGTAGGGAAGGGAAATGTCTAGGAGAGTGATGCTGTTTGTGCCAGTATGCTTGGGAATGTGTTTGTGTGTGAGTGGCTATTTGCAAGTGGTTGAGAGTACGGCTATCCTTTAGACGTCACTTATGTTGGGCCTCTTGACATCTCCCAGTGAATGCTTCCTGCAGGACAACTGAATTTCCTTTGGTGACTCAGCATTTCTACCAATTTTACTGAATTTGTAGGCTTTCTAATAAGCATAACACCCTTGATCCTGTGGCAGCCAAGTTAGACCTACTTGTCTGGTCCATCAGTCTCCTCAGCTAAAGCCACATGAGGGTGCCAATGAAGCTGGACCCACCTGCTCTGATGAGTGGCGTCTCACAAGCCTGGCCTCAGGCATCCTAAAAAGGTCTGCAATTGAGGGTGGGCTCCAAGGGACTTTGCTGTGGCTTCTTCACAGCTCACACAAGAGTAGGTTCCCAAAGACCACAAGTCCTGTGAAGATAAGCACCACATCTGTGCTAATAAATGGAAACCAGTGTATTTTTTAAAAAGATTTTATTTATTCATTTGACAGAGAGAGACAGCAAGAGAGGGAACACAAGCAGGGTGAGTGGGAGAGGGAGAAGCGGGCCTCCTGCCAAGCAGGGAGCCCGATGCAGGGCTCAATCCCAGGACCCTGGGATCATGACCCGAGCCAAAGGCAGATGTCCAAAGACTGAGCCACCCAGGAAACCAGTGTATTAAATTATATCTATATAATTTCCAACACATACTATCATAACCCAACAAAATAACACTCAGCCAAATGCCACTATCTTGCTAACCCTCGTCACAAGCAATAGATGCTGAGAGGCCAGAGAGTGAAGTTCTCTGACATCAGAGTCTCCTTTCTAAGTCAGCCCATGATTTCAAGTTTCAAGGATCTAGAACTCCACCTTCTTCTGCCACTTGTGGTCACTTCTGCCCCCTACCCCAATTCTAGAAATGTTTAGTAGAATGCATTAATTTCATTGAAAAACATTGAGCGCTTACTATGAGCATAAACATTGTGATGGAGTAAAAATACGTTTACTAACACTTTCGTAGTGCCTACTAAGTTTTAGGCACCATTCTAAACATTTAACAAAGACCAATTCATTTATTCCCTCCAGAATCCTGTATTATAGGTACTAGTACTGTTTTATAAATGAAGAAATGGAGGCGCATCAAGATTCAATAACTTTCTCAAATTCACTCAGCTGGAATGCAATGGAGCTGGGGTTTGAACCCAAGCAATATAGCAGCATAAGTCATGGCCTTGACAATTTTGCTATATTATTTTTTATTTAATCTAGCAAAGGAAACAAGATATAATTTTATTAAATTATACATAATGTGAAAGCAAAATAAGAAATAAACATAAAAATTCTTCACACCCATATCTTCCTCCTTCCTTTACCTCCTCTATACCTATTGGTCCCAGGAAAGGGGCAGTGGGAGAAGGTCAGAGAATGTGTATCAGTGTTGACCCCTTGTCCTAGAACCATGAGTAACATACACAGTGTATCTTATTCTGATTGAATATAGTTCTGGTTCTTAAAAAATTACTCATTCTTCCACATGTGATGTCAGACCAAAAACCGCAAGTGGCTTATTTAGAAAATGAGTCAGCCAGGAATTGCTAGGGTGACAAAAAGGGGAAGCATTTACCATGGTCCAAAGAACACATGGATTCTATTCAACCCTTAGTAGTGGAGTGGGCCAGAAGTGGGGGAGTCCCATTTAGAGACACCCCTCTTGGTATGTAATAAAGCTGGCCCCAGACACTAGGAAATTTGCCACTCAACAATCAATAAATATTTGATGAATATCATGATTAAAAAAATGATCTAAATCTGTAAACTCCCTGGGTTGGTGATAGTCCACTACAGATCTTGAAACCTTCAGTCTGTATCTGTAGGCCAGTTGTGACTCCTCTGCAGTCCTCTAGACAGCTGATGGGGATTCTCTACCCATATCTTTACCCTAGATTAATAGAGATAGAACACCTCATCCCTACCCTCACAGAACTCTCCATTTCCTTGGGTCAAGATTAATTAATTCTACTTTTTTTTTGTTCACAACTCTTTATTGTATACTTACAATATTACTAAGCTCGATAAATTTTGTGGGAAGAATATAAAAATGAGTTAAGCAAAGATTCTGCCCTCATAAAGTTTACCATCCAGTAGGGATGCTATATGCCATATATATATATATATATATATATATATATATATATACATACATACACACATATATACAAATATAAGGAAGGAAGTGGTCAGTGCTGTGAGACATATGCAATCAAAATGTTGGTTTGGAAAAAAAAATTAAGTTTGATAAGTATTGGTGAGGATATGGGAAACAGAACACTTACATTTTGCGAGTGGAAACATGTTGGTATTACACTTTGGGGAACAACTTGGCAATATCTAATGCACAAACCCTATGACTCAGTAATTCCATTTCTAGACATTCACTCTAGAGAATCTCTTTCACATGTACTCAAGAAGGCAAGTAAAATAATATTAGTCACAGGCCCATTTGCAAAAAATGGAAACAACCAACTGTCTCTCATGTGAGAATTATAACATAAATTGTGGTTTACTCTATTCCAATTCCAGTTTTACCAATACCATTTACTGTATTGGAATTGGAATTCTGTATTGGAATTGGAATACTGTATAGAAGTTAAAGAAAAAAACAAAAATCAGGGCACCTGGGTGGCTCAGTCTTTTAAGTGTATGCCTTTGGCTCAGGTCATGACCCCAGGGTCCTGGTATCAAGCCCCACATCTGGCTACCTGCTCAGTGGGGAGTTTGCTTCTCCTTCTCTCCCTCCCCCTGTTCATGTGCTCCTTCTCTCCTTCTCTCTCTCCCTCTCTCAAATATATAAAATCTTAAAAAAAAAAAGAAATAAAAATATTTGAAGAAGTTAGTTAAATTCAGGTAAGATATGGAAAGAGAATGAAAAAGATGAGCCAAAAACAGAGTAAAAGCAGTAGGTGTTGTGGGAATGTAGCATACTTCTAGCTTGGGTGGTCAGAGAAGGGGGAACCCTACTAGTGAGTTGTGAGCAGCCCACAGGATGAGGAGACATGCCCACTGGAGAAATGGGGTGAACACATAGAATGCAGTCACCGAATTTTACAGCTGGAGGTTTCATCTAGTTCTATCCTCTCATTTTACAGTTGAGAAATTTGAGGTCTCTGCAACTTAAGGAGCTGGCCAAGGTCATGAAGGAAGTTAGTAATAACAGTAAACGAGTCTCAGTACTAGGTATCTGATGGGCCATTCAAGACACTGTCCTTTATGAGATAAGTGAATGGATGTCACTTCCAAGAGCCCTCCGGGGAGGGAGAGGCTTATAGGGCATTTCAGAAGCCAGAAAAGAAATGGGAAGAGAGTGTTGGGCCACAGGAAGAGCCTGGAATCAAATCTGAGTTTAAATCCTGACTTTGCTAATTATTAGTTAGTTGACTTTGATTATAGCTTTTCTGTGTCTCAGTTTTCTCATCTATGAAATGAGAACAATAGTACCTTGCTGAGGAGATTATTTTAAGAATTAAATGAGCTAAGCTTCTTCAGTATATGCTGTTGGTAAAACTGGACAGCTACCTGCAAAAGAATGAAACTACACCGCTTTTTTTTTTTTTAAGATTTTATTTGTTTATTTGACAGAGGTTACAAGTAGGCAGAGAGGCAGGTGGTGGGGGGTGGGGAGGGAAGCAGACTCCCTGCTGAGCAGAGAGCCCGATGTGGGGCTTGATCCCAGGACCCTGGGATCATGACCTGAGCCAAAGGCAGAGGCTTTAACCCACTGAGCCACCCAGGTGCCCCATTATACCACTTTCTTATACATAAAGATAAACTCAAAATGGATTAAAGGCTTAAACATAAGAGCTGAAACCATAACATTCCTAGAAGAAAACAGGCAGTAATTTCTTTGACATTGGCTATTGAAACATTTTTCTAGATATGTCTCCTGTAGCAAGGGAAATGAAACAAAAGCAAAATTAAACAAATGGGACTACACCGAAATAAAAGCCTTCCCTACAACAAAGGAAACCATCAACAAAACAAAAAGGCAACCTGTTGAATGGGAGAAGATATTTGCAAATGATATATCCCATAAGGGGTTAATATCCAGAATATGTAAAGAAT